GGGCCCCCGGGGGCCCCTCGTAGGGGCCCCCGTACCCGCGACTCCGCGAAGAGGGGGGCCCCCAGAAGCCCCCGCGGCCCCCCCGAGAAGAAAAGGAGGAGCCGTAGCTGCCCCCGCGCCCGCCCCGGTAGCCCTCGCCGCGCTGCAGCAGCAGCAGCAGCAGCAGCAGCAGCAGCAGCAGCAGCAGCAGGGGCACAGGCTCGCGTGGGCGCCGCGGGGGAGGCGGGGAGCGCCTGTGCTGCAGCAGCAGCGGCAGCCGCAGGCGCTTCAGAAAGCCAAGCCGCAGCAGCTGCAGCAGCTGCAGCGAACACAGCAGCAGCAGCAGCGCCAGCAGCAACAGACGCAGCAGCAGCAGCAGCGCCAGCAGCAACAGACGCAGCAGCAGCAGCAGCAGCAGCAGCAAGCCTGACCATGTATCCTCCACGCCGCATGGGCCCCTCTCTTCTTTCGGCCCTTCTTTCTCTCCTTTCGGCCTCCACAATGTCGTCTGAGGTGTACATACACCACAAAAGCCAGCGCCACTCCTGCTGCTGCTGCTCCTCTGCAGCAGCAGCAGCAGCAGCAGCACTCCGAGCAGCAGCAGCAACCGCAGCCGCCCCTGGGAGGCCGCCTCGCTGCAGCCGGCCAGCAGCAACAGCAGCAGCGGGGGCCCCCGCAAGGCCACGCTGCTGGGGGCCCCCAGGGGAAGCCCTGCCTACCAAGGGTCATATCTAACATTGACTTTGCCATTTTGCTGCTGCTGCTGCTGCTGCTGCTGCTGCGGGTGGTGGCGGCCAAGGGAACGCGGAGCCTGCGAGGTGCTGCTGCTGCTGCTGCTGCTGCTGCTGAAGTTCCTGCTGCTGCTGCTCCGGTGGACTGCTGCTTTCAGCAGCAGCCAAGACCTTCGCCGCAGTGCTCTCAGTCTAAAGAATGCTTCTTGGTGCGTCGGCGGCTGCGTCTGCTGCTGCTGCTGCTGCTGCTGTGGTACTGCTGCTGCTGCTGCTGCGCCGCCTGCTGTTGGGTCTGCTGCTGCACTACACCGCTTATGTGAGGGCGACAGACAAGGCCGAGCCAAAGAAGAGCTGCAGGTAAATTGAAGCCCTTTAACACTTCTGCTGCTGCTTGCCCTTGCTGCTAGAGGTACCGCGGGCAAGAGCAGCAGCAGCAGCAGCAACAGCAGCAGCAGCAGCAGCGGGGGCCCCAGCAACTGAAAGGCTGGCAGCTGCTGCAGCACGTCCTGTCTTGACACTAGCAGCAGAAACCATCGACAAATAATTAATTTTAGTTTTTTAGTCATAGACGTTTTCCTCCTAGCAGCTAACCGAGCGGGTTTGCTGCTGCTGCTGCTGCTGCAAATGCAGCAGCAACAGTAGCAGCAGCGTAAATAGCCGCCGCCGCAGCAGCAGCAGCAGCAAAAGCCGCCGCCCTTGAAGACTTCATTATTGAATCTGTGCGCAGGCTGAGGTGCATGCAGCAGCAGCAGCAGCAGCAACGACGAGGCAGCAGGAGCGACGAGCCTCAGCAGCAGCGAGAGCGACCGCAGCAGCGCGCACACCGACCACGAAAGCAGCAGCAGCAGCAGCAGCAGCAGCAGCAGCAGCAAAAGCAAAGTCAACCACATTGGCTGCCTACAGCAGCGCGGACCTTTCGGGGTCCCCGGGGTCACTTGAGACGCAGGAGAGGCCCCCTGCTGCTGATTTGTTTTGCTGCTGCTGCTGCTGCTGCTGCTGCCGCCCCTCCACTATGTTCGCCTTAGCAGCAGGAGTGCTGCGCTGGCTGTCGCAGCAGCAGGAAGTGCGGGTGCTGCTGCTGGGCCTTGAGGGCAGCGGCAAGACAACCCTGGCGCTGCAGCTGCAGACTCACAGCAGCAGCAGCAGCAGCAGCAGCAGCAGCAGCAGCAGCAGCAACGCTTGCGACCTGCCGCCTGTGCGCCCGACGAAGGGCTTCACAGTTTACAAGGTGCAGCAGCAGCAGCAGCAGCAGCAGCTGCTGCTGTGGGACCTCGGCGGCAGCAAACCATTTCGCTGCTTGTGGGGAGAATATATAAAAGATGCAAACATTTGCTTCTTCGTGATCGACAGCACAGAGACCAGCAGCTTGCCGGAGGCTGCTGCTGCTTTTGCAGAAGTCATCCGCCTTGCTGCAGCAGCAGCAGCAGCAGCAGCTGCTGCTGCTGCTGCTGACAGCAAGCAGCAGCAGCGCGCGACGCAGCTGCCAGTGCTCGTTGTCTGCACCAAGCAAGGAGAGCCAGGTGCGGTGGAGCCTGAAGTGATTCTGCAGCGGCTGCTGCTGCTGCAGTTCCAGCAGCAGCAGGAGCAGCAGCAGCAGGAGCAGCAGCAGGAGCAGCAGCAGCAGCAGCACGAGCAGCAGCAAGCCCAAGAAGCTGCACTGCAGCAGCAGCAAGACATGGTTAGGCGGCACTTGGTGGGCTGCGTTGGCTTCAACCCCCGCAGCCACAGCGGGCTGAGCGAGCTGCTGCAGTGCGCAGCAGCAGCAGCAGCAGGGGAGCAGCAGCCGCAGCAGCAGCGCATAGTTGCTGCTGCACTCGAAACGGCAACGGCAGCAGCAGCAGCTGCTGCTGCTGCAGATGCCGCTGCAGCCGAGACGTTTGCAGCGGCCGCCCCACCATGCGCAGGCGCTGCGGAGCAGCAGCAGCAGCAGCAGCAGCAGCAGGAGGCGCAGCAGCAACAAGAAGATCAGCAGCAGCAGCAGAATCAGCAGCGGCAGTTTGCAGAGGCGGAGGAGCTGGCAAGAGCAGCAGCGCAGTGTACAGACACTTCAGAGACTGCGAGCTCGCAGCAGCCTGAAGTCCCCAGCAGCAGCAGCAGCAGCAGCAGCAGCAGAAGCCGCAGCAGCCCGCAGCAGGGCGAAGGCCCCAGCAGCAGCAGCAGCAGCAGAAGCTGCAGCAGCAGCGGCCAGCCAGCCCCAGGCAGCGAGCCCTCGCCCACCAGTGACTTTAGCCTGGCAACAACAGCAGCACATCCGCCGTCCCTAAGCAGCAGCAGCAGCAGCAGGAGCAGCTGCCCAGGCAGCAGCAGCAGCAGCAAAAGCAGCGACCCCGGCAGCAGCAGCAGCAAGCTGACCAGCAGCAGCAAGAGCAGCTGCCCCGCCAGCAGCAGCAGCACCAAAACCAGCGACCCGCGCAGCAGCAGCAGCAAACCAAACAGCAGCAGCAGCAGCAGCAAACCAAACAGCAGCAGCAGCAGCAGCAAACCAAACAGCAGCAGCAGCAGCAGCAGCAGCAGCAGCAGCTGGAAGGTGCTCTACGAGGCTGGAGACACAGACGACTTTGACCGGCTGCTGCAGCGGCAGTGTCTGGCGGTCTTACACAACAGCTGACGGCCATCGGGGGGCCCCCCAGGGGGCCCCCCTGGGGGCCCCTAAAAGGGTCCTTTTTTGGGGCCCCCTAGGGGGGCCCCCCTAAGGGGGCCCTCCTCTAGGGGGCCCCCAGTGGGCTCTTTCTAGGGGGCCCCCCGAAGGGGGCCCCCCTTATAAGGGGCTTTGTAGAGGGCCCCCTTTAACTGCGGGGGCCCCCTAGGAAGGGGGCCCCCCAGGAGGGGCCCCCAAGTCTCGGGGGCCCCCCAGGGGGGGCCCCCAAGCCTTGGGGGCCCCCTTGGGGGCCCCCCGGGGCTTTACTAAAGAAAGAAAGAAGTGGCAGTGAAGAGCATTTTGAGGGTGTTGTTGAGGCCCCTTGGGGTGTACGTACAGCTGGGTGGGAGTGGGGGGCTAGGGTTTAGTTAGGGTTTAGGGTTTAGCCCCCGTTTGCTGCTGAGGGTTTGCTGCTGCTGCTGGCGCAGCAAAAGAAGAAAGAATGAACGAAGAGCTCGAGCCCGAGTTGAGGTGTACAGACACCCCGCGGCTGCTGCTGCGGTGTACAGACACCCGCTTGCTGCTGAGGTGTACAGACACCCCGCGGCTGTCTGCTTCGAAAGACGCAGCAGCAAGCAGCAGCAGCAGCAGCAGCAGCAGCAGCAGCAGCAGCAGCAGCAAAAGAATGAAACAGAATTGCAACGCAACATTGCTGCAGTGTCTGTACACCGCAGCAAGCGGCGCAAAGCCTCTTTTTGCATTTCCGAATTGCTGCAGCTGCGGGTTTGGAACTTGTGACGAAAGGCCTCAATTTTGGTCGAATTTTCGCAAATTAAGTTTAATTAGAATTAAAATTTGAATTTAAATTTGAATTTGCATTTAAATTTGCATTTAAATTCGAATTTAGTGCAAGTTCGCGGCACCCTCGTCCTCCTCGTCGATGTCCTCGTCCTCCTCCGCCTCGCACGGCGGCTCGAAGTCCTCCGCGTCTTCGGCGTCTTGTTCCGGCATTTCGGCCTCGTAGAAGTCCTTGAGAGTCGTGTCGACTTCTTCGCCTTCTTCTGCAAAAAAAATTAAAAAAATAAATCCTAAATTGCCTTCAAACGAACAAAACTGACGCCAACTCCGCGCAAACCCCCCCCGCGCGCAGCTGCGCAGACACCGCAGCCGCCCCGGTGTACGTACACCCCGACGACCCCCCAAACACGCTCCACACACCCCAGCAGCAGCAGCAGCAGCAGCAGCAGCAGCAGCAGAAGTAACAGCAGCAGCAGCAGCAGCAGCAGGCCATCTCCCCCGCACAACCCTCCCCTCCACCCCACTCCAAACCACCGCAGCCCCAGAGAGCCCCCCGGGCCCCTCCGGGCCCCTTCTGGGGCCCCCCGGGGCCCCCCGAGGCCCCCCGGGGGCCCCCCGGGGCCCCCCGAGGCCCCCCGGGGGCCCCCGGGGGCCCCCCGGGGCCCCCTGGGGGCCCCCGAGGCCCGTGGAGTACCCTTTGGAAGGGTTTTCTGACCTTCGTCCTCGTCGTCTTCGTCGGAGTCGGGGGCCTCCCTCTCCTCGCCGAGGCGGTCTCGGGAGTCGAGGACTTGGAGGGAAGGCAGCAGCAAAAAGACTTTCTCTCTGTAGCCCGGCAGCGCAGCCACGGGGTTCAGGTCCAGCCCCAGCTGCTCCAGCTGCGTCAGCCCCGCCTGCCGCAAACCCAAACCCTAAACCCTAAACCCTAAACCCTAAACCCTAAACCCTAAACCCTACTAAACCCTACTAAACCCTACTAGACCCTACTAAACCCTACTAAACCCTACTAACCCCAAACCCGGACCCAAACCCCGCCCCCAACCCCTAAACTGCGCCCGCCGCTCGAACCTCCCCCCCCCCGCTGCTGCTGCTGCTGCTGCTGCTGCTGCTGCTGCTGCTGCTGCTGCTGCGGACGAGGGGCTGTAGGTCCTGGAAGGTCTTGAGGTGGTTGCCGCCGAGCTGGAGCTTGCGGAGGTTGGGAAAGGCTTGGACGAGAAAGTGCAGGTCTTTGGCGAGGTGGTTGTCCGTGGCTTCGAGTGTACGTACACCCGGCATCACCGGCAAGTTCTCCAAAGAGGAAAGCCCAGTTTGGTTCAAAGTCAGTTTTGTTAAATTTTCAAACTTCGCCAGAGCCGCTGCGTCTGCTGCTGAAATGCTTCGAATGCACCGCCCGTCCAGGATCAACTCCGTTATTTCTTGCTGCGCGTCCACGGCCGCTGCGCCGCCGTTGGGGGCCCCCGGGGGGGCCCCCAGGGGGGCCCCCAGGGGGGCCCCCGGGGCCCCCGGGGCCCCCGGGGGGCCCTCCTCCGCGGCCACCGCCGCCAGGAACTGCTCCACCCGCTCCGCGATGGCTGCCTCCATTCTGCGGTGTACGTACACCCCGCCAGGCCCGCGCCGCGCCCCAGAGGCTCCTGCAGCAAAGTCCCAACGCCTCGCAGCAAGCCCTGCCCCGCCGCGACCCGCAGCAGCAGCAGCAGCAGCAGCAGCAGCAGCAGCAGCAGCAGCAGCGCGACCCCGCAAGTCCGCCGCCCTTTCAAACAGCTCGCAGCAAATCTCCAAACTCCACAAACTGCTTTCGCTTCGCCTTGCCCCAGACACTAACTAACGAACGGGGGCTTGCTGCTGCAGTGGGGGCTCCCCGGTGGGGTCGGTGGCCGATAGGCTGCTGCTGCTGCTGCTGCTGCTGCTGCTGCTGCGGCTGCGGCTCGCGCGGCTCGGGCTGCTGCTGCGGCACTCCGCCGCGGAATCTCTCCAAAACGCAAATTAATGCCTTTTTCTCCTTTTAATTTTCTTTTCAAACTTAATTCAACTTCGCCTCCACTTCTGTGCCGCCAATCCTGCATGCGCCCCCGCGGAAAGCTCCCCGATCCCCTCCGGCTGCTGCTGCTGCGCTGGCTCGTCCAGACAGACTGGCTCGCCTCTTCAGGACTTGCTGGATTCTGAAGTGGAATTCTCCCAAAACTTCTTTTGAACTTCGCAAAAAAAGAAAAATGCAGTTTTGTTTTCCTTATTCCAAAAAGAACTAAAGAACAAACCCGTGTCGGCCCCCTAGACTCAGCTTTCACTAGTTCGAATCTGCACAGCAGCAGGACTGGCAGCAGCAGAATAGTTTCGATCTGTAGAAAACCGCCGCCAAACTCGGCAGACAGCCGCACTCCGCGAGTGGCATTTGCTAAATAGAAAAGCCGCGAGCAAATAAACTGCAAAAGAATTAAATGACGCTCGCTTTCCGCCGAGCAGCAGCTGCATCTCTCCGCAGAACGCGAGAGGCTCGGCAGAGGTGCCTGTACACCTGAAACCGCAGCAGCTCGCGCGCCCGCGATCTCACTCGTAGCGATTCAGTTATTTGTTTTAGGACTTTCACTAATTGGAAATGAAGTTGTTTTGTGTTTTTCTTTCTTTCGGCGCGCTGCTGGCCAGCAACGGCCGCGGGGCCGCCGCAGATCAGCCCCCCCTCCTCCGACTTGCACAGGTGGGCGCGCACGCAGCAGCAGCAGCAGCAGCAGCAGCAAAGCCCACTGACACCACAACTGGCCCTCCCGCAGCTTCCTGGATTCTCCGAAAGCAATCCTCCGCCTTACACAGTTATCAACGTGGCTGCAGAGGCCCGGCAGGCGACGGTTAGTCTCGAGTTCAACTCCAGGCCGCTTGCCCTGACCCCATCTGCTGCTGCTGCTGCTGCTGCTGCTGCTGCTGCTGCTGCTGCTGCTCGTAGGACCCCCTGGAAGGTACGGGAGCTGCGCAGCGGCTCAGCAGCAGCTGAATCTCTTTGCAACTTTAATGCAACTCAGAGCTCAAGAGGAAAGCTGAGGTAAAGCCCCCCTCGAGTTTGCTGCTGCTGCTGCTGCTGCTGCTGCTGCTGCTGCTGTTGCTAAAGAGGCCTCTGCAGCGAAAGGCCCAAATACGCTTCACCCACGACCTCAACCAGTGCGCTGCTGCAAACCCTAAACCCTAAACCCTAAACCCTAAACCCTAGCCCTGCTGCGCAGACGAGCCAAGGAAAACAGCCAAGGCTTCAAAACCCTAGAAGCTGCTCGCCGGAAGCTCGCCAGTGAGGGTTTGCTCTTCGGGCCAAAAGGACTTAGCCATATTTTCCCCTTTGCAGAGCGCATTTATTTGCTTAGAAACTAAACTCACTGAAGCAGCAGCAGCAGCAGCAGCAGCTGCTGCTGCTGCTGCTGCTGCTGCTGCGCCTTCTGTTAGCCCTTGCCTCGCAGAGGCCCTGCGGCGCACTGCAGTTGTCGCTGCAGCAGCAGCAGCAAGAGCTCCAGCAGGAGCAGCAGCAGCAGCAGCCGCTGCTGCTGCTCCCCCCGCAGCAGCAAATCCCGTGGCTGCCGGGGCAAACACCCCACAGTAAACACGACAGAGTCTTACCACTGTTTGCTTTCACTGTTGCTGCTGCAACGAGCTGCTGCCGCTGCTGCTGCTGCTGCTGCTGCTGCCTTCGTGGACGCTGCTGCAGTGCAGCAGCAAATCCTGCTGCTGCTGCAGCGGGGGCTGCAGCGTCCTTCCCGCCATTCGTGCCGCATACCGAGCTCGGCTGCTGCAGATTATTTCTTGAAATTGCTGCTTTAAAGACTTCTGGGGGCCCCCCTCGGGCGGCGCTGCTGCTGCTGCAGCAGCAGCAGCAGCAGCAGCAGCAGCAGCACTGCTGCTGCCGCCGTCCACGGCCATGTCTACTTGCGGGGGCCCCGGGGGGCCCCCAGCGGGCCCTGGCAGCCACTCGCTGCGGGCTGAAAATGCACTTATTCGCGGCAGCTGCTGCTGCAGCCGTTCTGCTGCTGCTGCTGCTGCTGCTGCTGCTGCTGGGTCTGCGCACAGTCGGTGCAGCCGCATTAGGTCCCCCCAAATCGGGTGCTGCACCCAGAACGAAACAGAAGGGTAGAAAGAAGCCTGCGCAGCCTTCGCTGCTGCCATTGCTGCTGCTGCTGCTGCTGCTGCTGCTGCTGCTGTTGCTGCTGCTGTTGCTGCTGTCCCCTCCAGCGTCCGGGCAAATGCAGCAGCAAGGTCCTGCAGCTGCGTCTCTCCGTCTTCGTCTGTGAGTGTTGCTGCTGCAGCGTAAGCAGCAGCAACAGCAGACAGCGGCTCGAAGCAACTCCACAGCAGCGGCCGCGCTGCTGCTGCTGCTGCTGCTGCTGCTGCCAGCGGGGGCCCCTGCACCGGCGGCAGCAAAAAGGCCGGGCTGCAGCAGGGAAGCCCGCTGGTGGGGTCAGTGCTGGCGATGAAGCGCCGCAGGGCCTGCAGAAGCGCGGCAGCAGCAGCAGCACGGGCATGCAGCAGCAGCAGCAGCAGCAGAAGGCGCAGCAGCAGCAGCAGAAGGCGCAACAGCAGCAGCAGCAGAAGGCGCAGCAGCAGCAGCAGAAGGCGCAGCAGCAGCAGAAGGCGCAGAGCAGCCGGCCGTGCGTCCGCAGCTGAGCAGCCGCCCCAAGACCCGCAGCAGCAACAGCAGCAGCAGCAGCAGCAGCAGCAGCAGCAGCAGCAGCAGGAGGTGGACTGACGGCGTAGAGGGGCGAGTGCTGCTGCTGCTGGGGTGTCTGTACAGCGTCGAACTCCGCGGGGCCCTCCACGACTTCGACGTTTTTTTCAATTCTTTCGAAGTCTGGCAGCAGCAAATTCCAAATGCTGCGGCGTTTGGGCTGCAGCAGCAGCAGCAGCCCCTGGCGGCGTTCGAGGGCGACGAGGGTGCTGCTGCTGCTGCTGCTGCTGCTGCAGCAGCGCGCAGCAGCAGCAGCAGCCACGCCCCCAGGCAGCCCGCAGCTGCTGCGAGGCGCCCACTGCAGCTGCAGCAGCCGCTGCAGCTTGCTGGTCTCCAAAGCCAACACCACAGCTTCTATTGCATGCGCAGCAGCAACATCCACCATGTAGAGTCCAGTGGTGCTGCCGCGGTCAGCAGCAACAGCAGCAATGGACGGCTGCTCCGTGCTGCTGCTGCTGCTGAAGCAGCAGCAAGTGTACTTCTCCCGCTGCACGCGGTCTTGCTGCACGAACTGCAGCAGCAGCTGCAGCGGCAGCCCGCACCCTTCCCTCCCCTCACCCACACCTTCCTCCTCTCCCGATCCTCCTGCTGCTGCTGCTGCTCCTGCTGCTGCTGCTGCTGCTGCTGCTGCTGCGGCTTCATCTGCGAGTTCTGCGCCGTCCGCTGATCCTCCTTGGGCGCCGGCTGCCCCCGCGGCGGCTTGTCCTGCTGCTGCCACTGCTGCTGCTGCTGCTGCTGCTGTCGCTGCTGAGGCTCCTGCGGCTGCGCTGTCTGCTGCTGCTGCTGCTGCTGCTGCTGTCGCTGCTGCGGCTCCTGCTTCTGCGCCCTCTGCTGCTGCTTCTGGCGCTGCGGTCATTTCTGCCGCCGCTGCTTCGTCGCCTACAGCTGCTGCTGCTGCTGCTGCTGCTCTTGCTGCTCCTGCCGCTGCGCCGCTCCGGGCTGCTTCTTTTGCTGCTGCAGCTTCAGCTGCTTCTTTTGCTGCTGCAGCTTCTGCCTCTGTCATCCGGCCTGCAGTCACATCCTCTGCTGCTGCTCCTGCAGCAGCAGCTGCTGCTTCTCCAGAAGCTGCTGTATCGCCTGCCGTCGTTGCTGCTGCTGCTGCATCTGCTGCTGCTGCTGCTGCAACACTTGCTGCATCTGCTGCTGCTGCAATAAGCCCGGAGACGTCTGCAGGCCCCAGCCTCCGCTTCCTGCTGGGACTCTTCTCTCCGTCCTCTGGAGGCAAATCGCTGCTGCTGCTGCTGCTGCTGCTGCTGCTGCTGCTGCAGCCATTGGTATCAGCAGGCCTCGAGTGGTGCTGCATCTGCGGCTCTTTCTGCTGCTGCTGCTGCGTGTCCTGCTGCTGCTGCAAGCTGAGCTCTGTTTGCTGCTGCTGCTGCTCCCAACTATCATCTCTCAGCCTCTTCCTCTGTTCACTGGCCGGTGCCTCTACTGCTGCTGCTGCAGCCGCTGCTGCTGCAGCTGCTGCTGCTGCTTCCGGCGCTGCTTCTGCAGCCATCGCACTTGGCTCAGCTGCTGCTGCTGCTGCTGCTGCTGCATCTGCTGCCTCTATGGGCTCAGCAGCCTCGCCTTTCCCAGCTTCTGCCTCTTGTCCAGCTTCTTCGCCATCAGCAGCAGCAGCAGCAGCTGCTGCTGCTGCTGCGCTGCTGCTGCTAGAAATGCGAACAGCAACAAGCCTCTCCACAGCCCGCACCAGCAGCATCCCTCCGTCAGGCCTCGCCTTAACTTCCACTGGCGCTGCTGCAGCAGCAAAGTGTGCACACCCCACAATCTCTGCCACCTGCTGCTGCTGTTGCTGCTGCTGCTGTTGCTGCTGCTGCTGCTGCTGCTGCTGTTGCTGCTGCTGCGGCTGTAGCAGCTGCCGCTCATCCTGCTGCAGCAGCCGCAACAGCCACAACGTGCCGGTCGGCGAGCACACCGCCACGAGGTCTTCTGCTTCCTGCTGCTGCTGCTGCTGCTGCTGCTGCTGCTGCTGCTGCTGCACAGAGAAAAGCTGCAGTCTTAGCTGGTTGAGGGGCCGGCGAGAGAAGCAGCAAAAGGGGAAGTTGCTGCTGCGGCCAGTCAGGGACCATCGGTCGCTGCTGCTGCAGCTGCTGCTGCTGCTGCTGGCGGGAGGCAGCAGCTCTCCGCAGCAACCCCACAGCACTTCTGCATTGTAGCAGCAGCAAGAGGGAGGCAGCATCGACAAAGAAGACAAATGGAAGAGTTTAGGGAAGTTTGGGGCTTGCTGCAGCAGCAGCTGCTGCTGCCGGTGCTGCCGCAGCAGCTGCTGCCGCAGGTACTGCAGCAGCAGCTGCTGCGGCTGCAACGCAAACTGCAGCAGCAGCGGCGCAGTGTACGTACAGCTCTCGCCCTCAGCCCGAGGGTCTGCAGCAAATGAAACAATCAAAGACATGCTGCCTCCTCCTGATAAAGCTTCCAGATCTGCTGCTGCTGCTGCTGCTGCTGCTGCTGCTGCTGCTGCTGCTTCCTCTGAAGCCGCAGCAGCTGCAGCTGACGGGCCGCCTTCGGCGTGCGTGGCATTCTTGCGTGCTGCAGCAGCTCGGAGACTCTTTTCTTCGGAAGCAGCAGCAGCAAATGCTGCTGCTGCTGCTGCTGCCTCTCCTGCTGCAGCAGCAGCAGCAACAGCAAGCCGCCAGGCATCATCTGCCCGCCGCTCTGTAAGAGACACAGCAGGCGGCAGCAGCAGCGAGACCAGCTGCAGGCAGCAGATCTTCACTCTCTCGGTGTCAGCAGCAGCAGCAGCAGCAGCAGCAGCTGCTGCTGCTGCTGAATCACCCAACTGCTGCTCCTCGGCCCACGCTTGACCCTTGCTGCTGCTGCGGCTGCTGCTGTTGCTGCTGCCACCAGGCCGCCCTCTCGGGGCCTGAGCGCTACTGCCTTCAGGCATTTGCTGCTGCTGCAGCTCTTGCTGCTGCTGCTGCTGCTGCTGCTGCTGCAGCGCTTGCTGTGGCTGCTGCTGCGACTCTTGACTCTCCTGCTGCATCTCCTGCTGCTGCAGCGCCTCCTGCTGTTGCTGCTGCTCCCTGGAGTTCAAAGCTTCGGCGCTCTCCAGCTGCTGCTGCTGCTGCTGCTGCTGCTGCTGCTCCTGTTCGAACTCCCCCTCACCTTGCTGCTGCTTCTCCTCCTGCTGCTCCTCCATCTGCTGCTGCTGCTGCTGCTGCTCGGGGTCTTCGTTAGCTTCCGCTTCATCGTCTTTGGCCTTGCTGCGCCTCGCGAGGAGTTGCTGCTGCTGCTTTTGCTGCTGCTGCTGCTGCTGCTGCTGCAGCCCCAGCGCAGGGATGGCCTGCATGTACACCTGGTGCAGGTCCAGCAGCAGCAGCAGCGCCGGCTGCTGCTGCAGCAAAGAGAATAAGAAAAGGCGGCAGCAGCCAGTAAGCACTAGCAGCACACGGTCTGCTGCAGCAAACTGCAGCTGCTGCACTGGCTGCAGCTCCTGCTGCTGCTGCTGCTGCTGCTGCTGCGGCATTTCCGTTAATCCGTTTGGCAGGCTGCAGCCCCGCGAAGGCCCTGGCAGCTCTTCCGCAGCAGCAGCAGCAGCAGCAGCAGCTGCTGCTGCTGCTGCAGTCGCTGGCGTTGCTGCTGCTGCGGCGCGCCCATTCGTCGGCGCTTCCTCTGCAGGTGGCTGCTGCTGCTTGCTGCTGCTGCTCTCGCTGCTGCTGCTGCTGCTGCTGCTGCTGCTGCAGTGCAGCTGCACGTAGGCGTAGAGGGCAAGAGTGTCCATAGAGAAAAGCTGCACATCTCTTCCTGCTGCAGCAGCAAGCAGCAAACCCCCCTCGCTAACAGCAAAGCTGCTGTAGCCGCGCAGCAGCTCGGGGTACATTCGGGAGCCTGCTGCTCCTGCTGCTGCTGCAGGCGTTGCTGCTGTCAGCGCTGCTGCTGCTGCAGACGCAGCTGCTGCTTCTTCCTTCGTAAACATGCTGCTCCCGCGCCCCCGGATGCCTGGCGCCTCAGAGTCGCTGGCGCTGCTGCTGCTGCTGCTGCTGCTGCTGCTGCAGCCGCTGCAGTTGCTGCTGCTGCAGTTGGCGCAGGCGGCGGAGTTGTAGGCCAGCGCGAAGAGCGTCTCCGGGCCCGTGGTTTGCTGCTGCAGCAGCAGCTGCTGCCGCTGCTGCTGCTGCTGCTCCCGCAGCTGCAGCCGCTGCACCCACGGATGCAGCTGAGACTGCGGCAGACACGGCAGCGCCAGCAGATCCTGCGGCTGCTGCAGCAGCAAATCGAGCCGCGAGGCCCCTGGGGGCCCCCCCGAGGCGTGGGGCCCCGGCAAAGTCATTGTGCAAAACCCTAAACCCTAAACCCTAAACCCTAAACCCTAAACCCTAGAGCCTGGGCCGTGCGGAGGCGGGGCACGGCGGGGCGGCGGCGGGCACAGGCAGCATTTCGGGGAGAATGAGGGAAATGGGATATTGCTGCTGTTGCTGCTGTTGCTGCTGCTGCCGCTGCTGCGGTTGCAGCAGCTCCTGCTGCTGCAGTTGCGCCTGCAGCAGCTGCTGCTGCTGCAGTGATGGCGCTTCCCCCAGCACCAACGCTGGCCCCAGATAAACCCTAAACCCTAAACCCTAAAGCTTAATCCCTTAAAACCTTCAGCCCAGCTTTGTGTTGTCTCAGCAGCAGCAGCATCTGCTGCGCAGCTGCACTGCCTGGGGCCCCCAGGGGCCCTGAGGGGCCCCCTGGGGGCCCCCTGGGGGCCCCCCTGGGGCCCCTAAGACCCCATTAGGGCCTAAAAGTGTTACCACCCTTTTGCTGCTGCAGTTAGGGTACAGAATTAGTCAGAGGCAGCAAAAGGCCCGCAGCCACGGCGCACACTGGGGGCCCCTTGCAGCAGCAGCTGGGGGGCCCCCTGAGAGCCCTGGGGGCCCCCGAGCGCCTCATGGGGGCCCCTAAGGAGCAGCAGCATGCAGCTCCCAGGTTGCCTATTGCTGCTGTTGCTGGCTGCAGCAGGAGCAGCAGCTCACACTGCAGCAGCAAGGCCTGGCGCAGCAGCAGCAGCAGCAGCAGCAGCAGCAACAGCAGCAACTCGCGCCAGCCTTTACACAGGGCATAGGGCCCTTTCGTTCCTGCTGGCGCCGCCCGCGGCCCCCAGGGCCCCCCGGGGGCCCCCCCGCCGCGCTGCAGCAGGGGCCCCTGGGGGCCCCCCCTGGGGGCCCCTGAAGAGCCCAGCGTGGCTGAGTGGCTGCAGCAGCAGCTCGAGGGGGCCCTCAAGGGTCAAGACCTTTGCATTTTGCTGCCTCGGGGGTCAGCTGAGGCTGAGGCCCTCTCCGAAACCCTCAGGGGGGCCCCCCTTGGGGGCCCCCCCAGGCCAGCAGAGGCTGAGGCCCTCTCAGAAACCCTCAGTGGGGCCCTCCTGGGGGGCCCCCTGAAGGGGCCCTCCTTGGGGGGCCCCCCAGAGAGGGGGCCCCCCTTGGGGGCCCCCGGGGGCCCCCTGCAAGCCTCTTGGGGGGGCCCCCCGGGGGGCCCCTCCTGTCTCGCCGAGGGCCCGAGGAGCAGCAGCAGCTGCTCGGGGGCCCCCGCGGCTGCAGCAGCAGCAGACTGGGGGGCCCCCAGCAGCCAACTTGGGGGGCCCCCGGGGGCCCCCAAAGAACCTGGAAATGAGGGGGCCCCCAAGGGGCCCCTGTGGGTCTCGCGGCTGCCAGCCGACAGCCCTGAAGCTGCTGCGCTGCTGCAGCAGCTGCTGCTGTCTCAGCAGCAGCAGCAGCAGCACCCCGCGAGGCCCCCAGTGCTGTTCCTCACCCCCAGAAGGACCAAACACAAAACAGCAGCAGCAGCAGCAGCAGCAGCAGCAGCAGCAGCAGCAACGAGCGCAGCAGCAACAGCAGGTGCAAGAGCACCCGAAGCCGCAGGACCCGCTGCAGAGGCAGCAGCAGCAACCGAAACACAAGCAGCAGCAGCAGCAGCAGCAGCAGCAGCAGCAGCAGCAGCAGGGACTGTGAGGGGGCCCCTGGGACTGGAGTGGCAGTGCAGCAAAATAGAAGAGTTGGGGGCCCCTGTTGTTTGGGGGCCCCTGCTGGCCCCTCCCTCATTTGCTGCTTGGGCAAAGCTGCAGCCGCAGAAGCTGCATCTTCTTGTGGCTAGCTTGGCTGCTGCTGCTGCTCCTGCTGCTGCTGCTGCTGCTCCTGCTGCTGCTGCTGCTGCTCCTGCTGCTGCTGCTGCTGCACCCAGGGAGGCCTCCTCGGGGGCCCCGCCAGACGGCCGGGCGGCGGCGAACGGCGGGGTGCCGACTGCAGCAGCAGCAAAATCAGCAGCAGCAGCAGCAGCAGCAGCAGCAGCAAGTGCGGAAGCAGCAGCAGCAGGCGCTGCTGCTGCTGCTGCTGCTGCTGCTGCTGGGCGTAGCGCGCTGGGCAGGCCGCTGGGCGAGTTCACTTTGCTGTCGCCTTTTGTGTCTCTTCCTGCAGCAGCAGCAGCAGCAGCACTCACCCACAGGGGGGCCCCCCTTGCTGCTGCTAGGGGGGCCCCCCTAGCAGCAGGGCCCCGCAAGGCTCTTGAGAAAGCCTTGGGAATGAAACTCTCGAAGCACATGCTCCTCAAGACCCTCGCGGAAGTGAGGGTTTAGGGTTTAGGGTTTAGGGTTTAGGGTTTAGGGTCTGGGGCTTGGGGTTTGGGGTTTAGGGTTTAGGGTTTGGGGTTTGGGGTTTAGGGTTTAGGGTTTAGGGTTTGGGGTTCGGGCAGTCTCTCTCTGAAGCCCACCGAAGCACGCGTTCGGGCCGCTTGCCGCCAAACCCTAAACCCTAAACCCTAAACCCTAAACCCTAAACCCTAATTCTATCGGCTGAAGCGCTGCGAGTTCGCTTCTGAGCCCCTTAGATTCGCTGATGCCGCTGCAACCGCTGCTGCTGCTGCTGCTGTCGCTGCTGCTGCTGCTGCTGCTGCTGCTGCTGCTGCTGCTGCTGCTGCAGGTCAGCAACACCGCGCTTGCTGCTGCTGCTGCTGTTGAGCTGGGCCTGGCCCTCTGCGCTGGGGGGGGTCTTCACCACGCGGGGCGAGAAAGGGCTGGGGGTTTTTGCCTTCTCAACGATGTTGCTGCTGCTGCTGAGCTGGCGCTGCAGCAGCACAGAGTCAGGTGCTGCTGCTGCTGCTGCTGCTGCTGCTGCTGTTGCTGCTGTTGCTGCTGCTTGGGCGGCTTGCTGCTCCTTTTCCTGCGAGTCCGCTCCCGCTCCCACCGCTGCTGCTGCTGCTGCTGCTGCTACCGCCGCTCTCACCCCTGCTGCTGCTGCTGCTCCTATTCCCGCTGCTGCTGCTGCTGCTGCTGCTGCTGCTGCTGCTGCTGCAGGCGGGTGTTGATTGTTGACGTGGATGTACACCAGGGCGACGGAACTGCTGAAATATTTGAAGGCCGCAGCGAAGTCACTACGGTGTCTGTACACTGCAGCAGCAACTACCCCGCTGTGAAGCAAAGGTCTGCTGCTGCTGCTGCTGCTGCTGCTGCTGCTGCTGCTGCTGCTGCTGCTGCTGATCGTATTTCTGTCCTTGCTTCTGCTGCTGCTGCTGCTGCTCGCATTTCTGCCCGTGGTGTTCCTGGTGCTGCTCGTACTTCTGTTCCTGCTGCTGCTGCTGCTCGTACTTCTGAACCTGCTGCTGCTGCTGGTGCTCGCTGTTGCTGCTGCTCTACTTATTCCTGCTGCTGCTGCTGCTGCTGCTGCTTCTACCGCTGCTGCGGTGGCGCTGCGGGCCGACGGCTGACAGCAGCAGGACTCGAAAACAAATGAGCAGCAGCGGCAGATACGAAAGTGCAGCAGCAGCAGCAGCAGCAGCAGCAGCAGCAGCAGCAGCAGCAGCAGCAGAACGGGGATTTGAGCGAGGGCGCGCGTTGCTGCTGCGCTGCTTCTTCTTCTTTGGAGTTGCTTCCTTCTCTTTACTTGTTTTGGATCATTTTTTAATTTTAAATTCTTTTATTTAATTCTTTTTTATTTTTTATTTTTTATTTTTATTTTTATTTTTATTTTCTGCAATCAGATCTTCTGTAGACATTTCTCTTCCAGAAGGCTGCGGGGACGAGGAGTACCTCCAGGCCTTCGAACCTGTGAGCTGCTGCTGCTGCTGCTATTGCTGCTGCTGCTGCTGCTGCTGCTGCTGCTGTTGCTGCTGCTCCTGTTTTGGTGTTTGTGGTGGTCGAGTTGCTGCTGCCGGTGTTGGAGGTGGTGGTGCTGCTGCTCTCTGTGGCGCTGCTGTTGCTGTTTCTTCTGCGGCCGCTTCCGTTGCTGCTGCTTCTTTTTCCCTTTTGCTGCTGCTGCTGCTGTTGCTGCTGCTGTTGCTGCTGCTGGCATTATCATTGTCGCCAGAGACGCTGCAGCTGCGCCCTTTGCTGCTGCTGCCTTCCCGTGCGCTCCCTGCAACCGCCGCCCCCGCCCCCGCCCCCCACCGCTGCCGCTGCTGCTGCTGCTGCTGCTGCTGCTGCTGCTGCTGCTGCTGCAGGTGCTGCAGCGCTGCTTAGCTGCTGCGCAGCCAGATCTGGTGCTGTACGTGGGGGGCGTTGACTGCCACGGCGAAGACCGGCTGGGCCTTTTGGGGCTGAGCGATGAGGGTTTAAGAAAAAGAGAAGTTGCTTTTTTCAACGCCGTGCTGCAGCACAACAGACGCATGCTGCTGCAGCAGCAGCAGCAGCAGCAGCAGCAGCAGCAGCAGCGGGAGCAGCAGCAGCAGCGGGAGCAGCAGCAGCGGCGGCAGCAGCAGCAGATGCCGCGAAAAATGGACGCAGAGCCGCAGAAACAGAAGCAGCAGGGACTGCAGGTGATGCAGGCGCAGCAGCAACAGCAGCAGCAGCAGCAGCAGCAGCAGCAGCAGCAGCAGCAGCAGCAGCAAGACTTTCCTGCTGCTGCAATTTGCGGTGTGGTGGGAGGCGGGTATGGGTGGCGCGTTGAAGACACCGTTAAGAGGCACCGAATTCTCTTTGAGTAACTAAACCCTAAACCCTAAACCCTAAACCCTAAACCCTAGAACTCTCTAAACCCTAAGCTGCAGCCGAACCCTACTACAGAAGGCCAAATGAGGGCCTAAACCCTAAACCCTAGGCCTCGAAACAGCCGCCTTGAACCCTAAACGCCAAACCCTAAACCCTAAACCCTAAACCCTAATTGTAAGCCCTCGCGGAGTTCTTCGAGTGCCAAAATGCTGTCTGACGAGCTGCTGAACCCCTGACCCTGGACTAGGGTTTAGGGTTTAGGGTTTAGGGTTTAGGGTTTAGGGTTTGGGGTTTGTTTCTGCGCAGAGTGGCCAAAGAGTTTTGGACTGAGCGGGGACTCCGCGAGGTGTACAGACACCCCAAAACCCTCAAACCCTTTCGCGCGCTCGAAGTGCTCCCTCTGGAGCCCAAACCCTAAACCCTAAACCCTAAACCCTAAACCCTAACCCCTAAACGCTAAACCCTAAACGGTGAAGGCCGAGCCGTCGCGCCCTCTAGGCTGAACGCTTTTTGGCTGCGAAGGTTATTTGTCGGGCCGCCAGGGATTTAGGGTTTAGGGTTTAGGGTTTAGGGTTTGGGGTTTGCGGACTTCTAATTCTTGTCTGAGTTATCAGGGTTTCGCAGCCCCAGTTTCAGGGTGTTGCATTAGGGTTTAGGGTTTAGGGTTTAGGGTTTAGGGTTTAGGGTTTAGGCACTAGCTACAAATGAAACTTTTAGCAATTTGCATATATTTAGTCAAAAACAAAATTATGGCCTAATGATGGGGGCCCCCATTAGCTGCGAGGGGCCCTTTTAGGGGGGCCCCCCAGGGGGCCCCCCAGGGGCCCCCAGAGGGCCCCCCGGGACCCACCAAGGGGGCCCCCAGTCCTTATATAAGGGCCTCTTGGGAGGAATTAACTGAAATTAATTAAAATGATTTAATTAAAAAGAAAAGAAGTTTTGATGATAAACAGTTTAGCTCGACTTGGGGTGTACGCGCAGCTCCTGGGGTGTACAGGCAGCGCTCCGAGCAACACCCCGCGAGACCTAGGGTCTAGGGTTTAGGGTTTAGGGTTTAGGGTTTAGGGTTTAGGGTTTAGGGTTTGTGCGTTTAGACCGTTCGGGATCTGCTGCGTTTTCTTTTTCCTGGTCGGAAGTTTGTTTTGTCAAAAGACACTTTTCCATTTACAAACCCTTCCATACAAGCCGAGGTCGTGCTGCTGCTGCTGCTGCTGCTGCTGCTGCTGCTGCTGCTGTGCTGCTGCTGTTGAGGACATTCCTGTGGCTGTCGTTGGTCCGTTTCACGCTGAGCTGAGGGTTTAGGGTTTAGGGTTTAGGGTTTAGGGTTTAGGGTTTGTGGACAGGTGCTGGGTGACGACGGCCGATATGTGGAGGTACTTGGGGGAGGCGTTTTGCTGCCTTCTATCGTTGCTGCAGCAATGGAAGCAGCAGCAGCACCAGCAGCAGCACCAGCAGCAGCAGCAGCAGCAGCAGCAGCGCCAGCAGCAGCAGCAGCAGCGCCAGCAGCAGCAGTTCTAGCTGCTCCAACACCTCCAGCAGCGTCTCCAGCAGCAGCACCAGCAGGAGCTCCAGCAGCAGCAGCAGCAGCAGCTCCAGCAGCAGCAGCAGCAGCAGCAGCAGCAGCAGCTCCAGCAGCAGCAGCAGCAGCAGCAGCAGCAGCAACTCCTCGGGTGTGGGCGCTGGGCCTGGGGCTGGACCGGCTGAGCATGGCTTGCTGCAGCATTCCGGACATTCGGCTGCTGCTGCAGAACCATCCGCTGCTGCTGCAGCAGTTCAGCGACGGCAAACTCAAGGCCTTCAAACCCTTTTCAAAGCTGCAGCCAGTCAGCCCCTGCTGCTGCTGCTGCTGCTGCTGCTGCTGCTGCTGCTGCTCTCTTGCTGCTGCTGCTGCTGCTGCTGCCCTCTTGCTGCTGCTGCTGCTGCTGCTCTATTGCTGCTGCTGCTGCTGCCCTCTTGCTGCTGCTGTTGCTGCTCTCTTGCTGCTGCTGCTGCTGCTGCTGCTGCTGCTGCTCTCTTGCTGCTGCTGCTGTGGCTACTGCTGCTGCTGCAGCTGCTGCTTCTTACTTGCTGCTATTGCTGCCGTCATTTTCGTTGCTTCTGCTCCTGCTGCGGCTGCTGCTGCTGCTTTTGCTGCTGTTGTCATGACCCTTCTTGCTGCTGCTGTTGCTGCTGCTCTTCTCATCTCGTTGGCCTGCAAACCCTAAACCCTAAACCCTAAACCCTAAACCCCTTTTGCTGCACAGGTTTATAGAGACCTCTCTTTGTGGCTGGAGCCCAAAGACATACTGATGAACAGCAACGAGACAAAACCCCAATGGGCTTGGTAGGACCAAACCCTAAACCCTAAACCCTAAACCCTAAACCCTAAACCCTAAACCCCGAACAGCAGGTAACGCCGCACTAGCAGCTGCTGCAGCTTGCGTCAGCTGCGTCGTGGGCCTCTGCCTCTACCCCCAGCTGCTGCTGCAGCTGTTGTTGTTGCTGCTGCTGCTGCTGCTGCTGCTGCTGCAGGAAGCACGAGGCTGAGCTGCTGCTGCTGCTGCGGAAGGCGTGGGGGCCCCTTCCTGCTGCAGCAGCAGAAGTGACTGACAGATTTAATCATTTGGGACTTAAGAGGTTTTCGCTGACGCTGCGGCTCAAGTTCGAGGCTCCCCCACAAGTGGCCGTAAGCCCTTAGGGTTTAGGGTTTAGGGTTTAGGGTTTAGGGTTTGGGGTTTGGGGGCTGCGCTGGTTTCTTCGCCAAGGGCAGCCGAGGGTTTCGTCCTGCTAGGGTTTAGGGTTTAGGGTTTGTCCGTTGGCGGGCGAGGAGGGTTTCGGTCCCACAAACGAGGCTTTGATTTCAAACCCTAAACCCTAAACCCTAAACCCTAAAGCTGAACTGCAGCAGCTTCTGGAAACCCTAAACCCTCAGCAGCAAGCACTCAAGGGCATACTCACTGCAGGGCGTGGGGAAAGAAGACGCGGGTCGCTGAGCCCATTTCTAGGGTTTAGGGTTTAGGGTCTAGGGTTTAGGGTTTAGGGTTTAGGGTTTGCGCTTGTGTGGCATTCAGGACCCCGCAGAACTGACTCGTTTGTCTTTGGCGCAAATGGAGTTTTTGACTGCTGCAGTTTGCAGCTCTTTGCCTGCCTCAGTTCGCTCCAAGTGACTAAACCCTAAACCCTAAACCCTAAACCCTAGTCCTAAACCCTAGTTTACAAACCCTAGGGTTTATAAACTGGAACCCGAGGTCTTTGCTTTTCCACAAAAAGGCTTGTCTTTGGTTCCCAGGCGGGTGTTCGTGGGCCCTCTTGGCCGCACCTAGGGTTTAGGGTTTAGGGTTTAGGGTTTAGGGTATGGGGTTTCGCAGCGCAGGCGGCTACAGGGAGGGTTTAGGGTTTAGGGTTTGGGGATTAGGGCTTGGAGGACTGGGAAGGCGGACAATTCCAGCGGCCCCTGAAGAGAACACGCAACTGGCCGCGCCTTTAGAATTAAGGGTTTAGGGTTTAGGGTTTAAGGGTTAGGGTTTAGGGTTTAGGGTTTAGGGTTTAGGGTTTGGGGTACCTGGGTAGTCGGGGAGCACAAGGCCGTACTTTTGCTTCAGCGACCTGCAGAGACCCACAACCCTCGCGCAGTGTTAGGGTTTAGGGTTTAGGGTTTAGGGTTTAGGGTTTAGGGTTTGGGAGGGGAGGGAAAGGAAAAGAGACGCGAGGGAGTAAAATGGAAAGAACTTGAGCAGAAGGAAATTAAAAAATAAAAAGATTTAAAAAGATAAAAATCAAAAAGAAAAAAAACAAAAAAGATTAAAAAGAATGGAAAAGAAGAAAGAAGACATTAAGACCCAAAAAGATCAAAAAAGATGAAAAAAGAAAAAAGGTAAAAAAAGATAAAAAAGATTAAAAGAAGTTCAAAAAAGATAAAAAAAAGATTTAAAAAAAGACCAAAAAGTTTCAAAAAGAAAAAAAGAATGCAAAAGGAAAAAGGAGACAAAAAGGATCAAAAAAGGGACAAAAAAAGACAAAAGAGATTTTAAAAAGATTAAAAAATTATTTGAAAAAGATTTGAAAAGTTTGAAAAGAAGGAAATGGAGAAAAGAAAAAAGTGATTAAAAAGATGAAAAAAAAGCAAAAAGAGGCACTAAAAGTGCATTTTAAAAAACTCCAAAAAGAAAACTAAAAGTAATTTAAAAGTCTCCAAAAGAGAGTCTAAAGTTGGTTAAAAAGACTTCAAAAAGCGGCCAAAAGAGAGTTTAAAAGTGATTAAAAAGGCCTTCAAAAAGGTTTGAAAATGCATTTTAAAGAGTCCAAAAGAGAGCTTAAAAGTGATTAAAAAGGTCTTAAAAAGAGAATTGAAAAGAGATTGAAGAGCCTTTAAAAGGGAAATTAAAAGGAGATTAAAAAGCCCCTAAAAAGGGTCCAAAAGACCAGAAAAAGAGCAAAAACAGACCAAAAAAGAATAACGAAAAGAGAACAAAAAAGAACAAAAGGAGACCAAAAAAGACCAAAAAAGAACCAAAAACGAACAAAAAAAGACCCAAAAAAGAAAAGCAAAGAAAGAACAATAAAAAGAGAACAAAAAAGACCAAAAAAGAAAAAAAAAGAAATCAAAAAAGGCAAAAAAAGAGTCAAAAATGAAATCAAATAGACAAAAATAAAACAAAAATTAATAACTGACTCCGGCAAAAAACGCCCGCCCAGGAAATGAAGGCCCGAAAAACTTTTGGCGAAAAGTTTTGGAAGAGTTAAAGAGATTAAAGCCGAGGGCTTTATTTGCTGCGAAGGGGGGGGGCCTTTGTAATAAATAAATAATAAAAAATAATAAAAAATAATAAATAAATAATAAATAAATAATAAATAAATAATAAATAAATAATAAATAATAAATAAATAATAAATAAATAATAAATAGTAATAAATAAATAGTAATAGATAGATTAATTAATTGATTAATTAGTTAGTTAGGTAACTAACGGTTTAAAAAATGGATTAGTAAATGAATTAATTGACAAATAAATAAATAAGTGAATAAATAATAAATAGATAAATAAAGTAATAAACAAATAAATAAATAAATAAATAAATAAAACAAATAAATAAATTAATATAATTAATTAATAATAAATAGTTTAATTAGTTTAATTAATTAGTTTAATTGACTAATTTGATTTTTGACTTTTTGATTTGGTTGAGGGGTTGGTGGGGGGAGTGAAGAAGTTAATTAAATTAATTAAATTTAATTTAATTAATTTAATTAATTTAATTAATTTAATTTGATCAATTTGATTAATTTAATTTGATTAATTTAATTAATTTAATTAATTTGATTAATTTGACTTAATTAATTTGATTTAATTTAATTTCATTTAATCTGAGGTATTAAAGATATTAAATGAAATTAAAAGAGATAAAACAAATTGCGAGAAATAAAAAAAAGATAAAAGAAATTAAATGACACAAAAAAGAAATTAAAAGAGATTAAAAGAAACTAAAAGAAATCAAAATAATTAAAAATAAAATCAAAATCAAAATCAAAATTAAAATGAAATTAAATCAACTTAAAATTAAAATTAAATGAATATTAAAATAAAAGGCAAAATTAAATTAAAATTAAATTAAAATTAAATTAAAATTAAAATTAAATTAAAATTAAATTAAAATTAGATCGAAATTAAATTAAATTAAATTAAAATTAAATTAAAATTAAAATAAAATAAAAGAAGTTCCATACCCGCATCCACATCCCAGCCAGAGGGAACGTCCACAGAGAAGATTGGCAGTGCTGCTGCTGCTGCTGCTGCTGTTGTTGTTGTTGCTGCTGCTGCTGCTGCTGCTGCTGCTGCTGCTGCTGCTGCTGCTACCTGCTGCAGCAAATCCGAATAGGGGGGCCTCGGGGGCCCCCTGAAGCTGAAGCCAAAAATGGCGTCCACTAATAAGTGGTATTCAGTCACGTCTGCAAAAAAGAAACAAACCCTAAACCCTAAACCCTAAACCCTAAACCCTAACCCTAAACCCTAAACCCTAAACCATAAACCCTAGACCCTAAAGCGTGAAGCCAAATATGGCGTCCACTAATAAGTGGTATTCCGTAACGTCTGCAAAAAAGAAACAAACCCTAAACCCTAAACCCTAAACCCTAAACCCTAAACCCTAAACCCTAAACCCTAAAGCGTGAAGCCAAATATGGCGTCCACCTATAAGGGGCATTCAGTCACGTCTGCGCAAAAGAAACAAACCCTAAACCCTAAACCCTAGAGTCGTTGAAGCCTTAGCCCTCAAACCCTAAGTCCTAAGCCCTAGAGCCTAAAACCCTAAACCCTAAAGCCGTAAACCCTAAACCCTAAACCCTAAACCCTAATTTGCGGGGACCCTAAACCCTAATGTGCTGACGGTATTCCGTAACGTCTGCAAAAAAGAAACAAACCCTAAACCCTAAACCCTAAACCCTAAACCCTAAACCCTAAACCCTAAACCCTAAAGCGTGAAGCCAAATATGGCGTCCACCTATAAGGGGCATTCAGTCACGTCTGCGCAAAAGAAACAAACCCTAAACCCTAAACCCTAGAGTCGTTGAAGCCTTAGCCCTCAAACCCTAAGTCCTAAGCCCTAGAGCCTAAAACCCTAAACCCTAAAGCCGTAAACCCTAAACCCTAAACCCTAAACCCTAATTTGCGGGGACCCTAAACCCTAATGTGCTGAGGCGAACTAGACACGCAGAGCCAGCCAGACCCCAAACCCTTCAAGGAAAAGATCAAAATAAAGAAACCAACCAAAATAGGGTTTAGGGTTTAGGGTTTAGGGTTTAGGGTTTAGGGTTTAGGGCAGTGGCAGCAGCAACGCAGCAGCACAGACAAGCCCCACGGCAGCCACAGCTATCAAGAAAAACAGGAATAAATAAATAATTTAATTAATTAATTAATTAATTAATTAATTAATTAATTAATTAATCAATCAATCAATTATTTAATTAATTAATTAACATATTTATTTATTTAATTAATCAAAACAGATACGCAGCAGTATATAAGTGTGTACAAAATATGTAGTGTGTAGAAAAGCGATTGCAGCACTTTGAAGGGTTTAGGGTTTAGGGTTTAGGGTTTAGGGTTTAGGGTTTAGGCTGACCCTTGGGCAACTCCTGGAAGAACTCCACCCCGTTCGCTTTAGCCTGCTGAATCAAGTTCTGAAGACGCCGCAAACCCCAAACCCTAAACCCCAAACTCTAAACCCTAAACCCCAAACCCTAAACCCTAAACCCTAAACCCTAAACCCTAAACCCTAAACCCTAGTTGGACCTTGTAAAGCTGCTTTTTGGGCTCTACTGGGCAAACCACGTTGGCCTCCATTCCAAACAAACGCAAATGCCGCGCAGCCACGAGGCCGTCGCCCCCGTTGTTGCCTGCGCGCATCAGGGTTTAGGGTTTAGGGTTTAGGGTTTAGGGTTTAGGGTTTAGGGTTTTCGGGCTGCGCGCCCGCCGCAGCAGAGCGCTCCTTGCTGCGGGCTCGCCCGCGAACTCGGGCGAGGGTTTAGACTCTCGGGCCTGCGTTTAGAGCCCTGCGCAGCCTCCTAGGGTTTAGCGTTTAGGGTTTAGGGTTTAGGGTTTAGGGTTTAGGGTTTAGGGTTTGCCTGGGCCAACGAGAACAAGCACGCGAGCGCCTTCCACAGAAGGGCGTTTTGTCAATTCACAAAAAGAAGAAAAAACGGCGGAGGCCACACTGAGCCCCGCGAGCTCCATCAGCTGCGCACAAACCCTAAACCCTAAACCCTAAACCCTAAACCCTAAACCCTAAACCCTCGGCGCGACACCCAGACCCCAAGCGCTACACCCAGACCCTAAACGCTACTCCCAACGCAGTGGACCCTGAACCGCCAACACCCTGAACCCTGAACCCTAAACCCTAAGCCCTAAACCCTAAACCCTAAACCCTAGACCCTAAACCCTAAACCCTAAACCCTAGCTGCTGACCTGCAAAATGTCGTATTGGTACTCGGGGCCCATAAGCTCTTCATCGATTTTCTGCGCCTCCGCGGCCGACAGGTACTGCGCGACACACACCGCCCTAGGGTTTAGGGTTTAGGGTTTAGGGTTTAGGGTTTAGGGTTTAGCAATTAGGGTTTAGGGTTTTGTCTCGTCTCCACTTCACGCCTTCTTACTGTTATGGAGTTGCTGCTGCTGCTCATCTTCCTTATATTCCTCTTAGAAGAATAAAAAGAGAAAAAACCCTCAACAAATAAACCCTTAATTCTCAAATCCAAATGGCGTTTTATAAAGGGTTTAAGAGCTTTGGGGGCCCCCCTTGGGGGCCCCCCTAGGGGCCCCCCTAGGGGCCCCCCGGGGGGCCCCCCGGGGGGCCCCCTAGGGGGCCCCCCGCGTGGAATGGCACCGGCGAGGGTTTGGAAAGTGTGTTTCGAGTGTAGCAACATCAAAAGAAGAAAATAAATAAAATTCATTTTTAATTTTAAATTAAATTCAAAAGAATTGCAAAAAGAAAGCCCGGAATGGGCAGCAGGGGCCGCGCGCACAGCGCCCAGGGCTGAGGGTTTAGGGTTTAGGGTTTAGGGTTTAGGGTTTGAGGCGCAGGGTTTAGGGCTGTCAATTTGGCGTTTAAGCTCTAAGCCTTCATCTAAATTGTTTTTTTTGCAACATTCCTGCCTCCTATACAGAGAACACAGGTTTTATTCTTTAGGGTTTAGGGTTTAGGGTTTAGGGTTTAGGGTTTAGGGTCTACGGCGTGTCTTTGACAGAGAGTTTTTCCAGAGACTACGCAGCGACTCCTCAAGAAGTGGCTGCTGCTGCTGCTGCTGCAACTCTTTTGCAGCAGGTGCTGTTGCCCTTGCTTCTGCTGCTGCTGCTGCTGTTTTTGCTTCTGCTGCTGCTGCTGCTGCTGCTGCTGCTGCTGCTGCTGCTGCTGCTGGTTTCTTGGCCCGTTTATAAACAAATGCCAGTCCTTTCGAATATATTAAAAAATAAAAATAGATTTTTAATTGCATCAGTTTACACTTTTTAATTGCTTATTAATTTATTATTATTATTTCACTTTTATCATTTCAACTTTTTTATTTTTATTTCCTTTTCATTTCTTCAGCAGCAACTTTTCCCACTTCCATCTCAACTTCTTTATCTCTTAATCCTCTTCATGCCAATCCATACTGGACCCCCCAGGGGGCCCCCAGGGGCCCCCCCAGGGGCCCCCCAGGGCCCTGCCAGGGGCCCCCCAAGGGGCCCCCCAGGGGCCCCCAGGGGCCCCTACGGGCTCTCAGGGGTCCCCAAGGTACTTTAGGGGGCCCCAGAGGTTTCTGGGGGGTCATCGGGGGCCCCAGGGGGGCACTTAGAACAGCTGGGGGCCCTTGGGGGCCCCCTAGAGCCTCCTGAGGCCCCCTTGAGTTCCCAGGAATCCTCGGGGCCCCCTTGAGTCTCTGGAGGCGTCTTAGGGGCCCCTTGGGGCCCCCTTGGGGCCCCCTAGACCCCCCTGGGGGCCCCTTGGGGCCCCCTAGACCCCCCTGGGGGCCCTTGGGGCCCCCTTGAGACCCTAAGGGGCCCCTGGGGCCCCCTAGGCCCTTACAAGTTTCGTTTTGACTAAAAGGGTTTAGTTGGGAAGTCGTTTTGCTGCTTTGCGAGTTCGTGAGGTGTCTGTACACCTGGGGGCCATTTGCTGGGGTGTACGTACACTCCAAATGCCTAAGGGGAGTTTAAATGCAAAAATATTTTTTTATTTATTTTCAAATTCGAGTGTATGTACCTGTTCAGCCCCAGGCTGCTGCTTAGCTAGCCGCGCCCCACTGCTAGCTAGCTAGCTAAATAGCTAGCTAGCTATTAAGCTAGCTAGCCAAATAGCTAGCCAGTTAAATAGCTGGCGAGCCGGCTAGATAGCTAGCTAGCTAGCTAGCTAAACAGCAGGCCGGCTGCCTGGCTTGCTAGCTAGCTAGCTAACTAGCTAGCTAGGTAGCTAATTAGCTAGCTAGCTAACTAGCTAGCTAGCTAGCTAGCTAGGCGTTGAGGCCTTTAACCCTATACCTCTTTCTTATTCTGTGCAGCGAGTGGCTCGCCTATGTGGCTAGCTAGCTAGCTAGCCAAATAGGCGCTCAGGCCGCTGCAAAGCCAGCCACCCTTGCATGTAGCCAGCTAGCTATGTGGCTAGCTAGCTGTGCAGCTGCCTGTCCACCTCTGCCTAGCCAGCTAGCTAGCTAGCTAGCTAGCTAGCGAGCTGGCTCCGGCTACGCTGGCTAGCTGTGAAGTTCGGTGCCTAGCTAGCAGTTTGGCTAGCTGCCCTCTGGCTAGCTGCACGGCTAGCTGGCCAGCTAGCCATCCAGCTAGCCAGCCAGCCATGCAGCTAGCCAGCTAGCCACCCAGCCAGCCAGCCAGCTGGCCAGCCAGCTAGCTAGCCACTCAGCCAGCTAGCTAGCTAGCTGCGGCCTCACTCCCCCGCGAGTCTGTCGAGGTCTTTGTGGATTCTGCTGCGGGTCAGGGCCGTGTTGAGGGGCCCCCTGCGGCGGGGGGGCCCCCCTGCTGCTGCAGTGAAGGCCCTGGGGGCTGGCCAGTAGAGGGGCGGCAGGTGCTGCTGCAGCAGGGGGGCCCCCCCGTAGCTGCGCGAGGCCTCCGACTGCAGCAGCAGGGGGCCCCCGGGGCCCCCGGGGGTGCCCCCCAGCAGCAGATCTGGCCGCCACCGCGACCGCAGCCCCCACTCCTTCTCAGAAGCTGAACCCCCGGGGGCCCCCGGGGGCCCCTCGGGGGGGCCCCCAGCAGGGGGGCCCCCCACGGGGGGGCCCCCAACGGAGGGGCCCCCAGCTTCAACGGAGGGGCCCCCAATGGAGGGGCCCCCTGCACAGGGGCCCCCAACAGAGGGGCCCCCATTAAGGGGGCCCCTAGGCGGGGGGTCTCTCGGGAAGCAGGAACGCAGCAGCGCGGCGCGCGCCATGGCGCTGCGTTCTCTAAGCGCAGCAGCAGCAGCAGCAGCAGCAGCAGCAGCAGCAGCAGCAGGAAAGGACAGCAGCGCGCATGTGAATTACTTATAATACCTTTTGTAGTATTTAAAATGGAAGAAAGAAGGAAAAAGAAAAGGACAAACAAGCGCATTCAAGAGCCTCTAATGGACTTTAAAGACAGAAAGGGGGACAGAGAAGAAGACAGAGAAGTGGGGCAAAGGCAGCAGCAGCAGCAGCAAACTTCCCGAGGCAGCAGCAGCAGCAACATGCCCGAGGCAGCAGCAGCAGCAAACGTCCCGAGGCAGTGGCAGCAGCAGGGTGCCCTAGGCAGCAGCAGCAGCAAAGTGCCGGAGGCAGCAGCAAAGCAAGAAAGACCTGTCGAGGTCCAGCAAGAAGCTCTCGGCCTGCGAGCGGAGCAGCGGGAACTGCTGCATGTCGGGGGCAACGCGGATGCGGTGCTGCTGCTGCTGCTGCTGCTGCTGCAGCTTGGGCATTTGCTGCAGCACCTGGGCCACTGTGGGCAGCCCCAGGAAGCGGCTAAGAAAAGGGCTGCGGGCAATTCGCCACTCCCCGTCAATTTCGCTGCTTTCTGTAGGCCGCTTCGCCTTCTCTCTGCAGCAAAACCCTCCGCAACTCCTGCGCAGCGGCTGCAGCTGCTGTAGCTGCTGCAGCTGCTGCAGCTGCTGCAGCTGCTGCAGCTGCTGCAGCTGCGCAGCAGCCAAGCAGCAGCGGCGCAGCTGCAGCAGCTCCTGACCCGCCGCGCCACGGCAGCCAAAAGGCAGCACCTCGGGGCCTTTCTACAGCTGCCACTGCGAGGAGCAGGGAGGTGCAAACAAACTCAGCTGCAGAACTCAGGCGGAGTCGGAAAAGCGGTGCTGACTGCTTACTGCAGACTCGAGCTCGTTGTGTCCACCACAGGCTCGATTACGGGAATTGGCAAATTCACACTCTCCACGGGATGCACCATTTTGCCCTCCTGCTCGGCGCTTCAGGCCCTCTATAAACACTCCTTCTCAATTCCGCCTCTACGCCCACTCAAACTTCTTTGCATGCGAAGGAAGGGCCATCGCGTGATCGATAATCCTCCCGCTCTGGCTCGCGGTGCAGTACAATAACAGACACTACAGCTTCACTATGGTTTAATTAAACACATAATTGCATAAATGCCCTCATTTATGCCTTCATTTTGAGGAATTCGAATTTTTTTGAAAACAACGGGGAGTATTCACGAGGATTCCCCGGAGCCAGGTGACCCCGAGCAAACGGCCTCCCTCGGCCGTCGGCAGCGCTTTCCGGGAATAGCCCGTAGCGAGTGACTACGTGAAATTTTCGGAAAATTCTTACAGTAAGCTTTTACAATGTGCAAAAGTAAAAAAGAAATACATTTAAAGGTGAAAACTCGAAAATTCGCGCCGCAAGAGGGCTGCGGCTTCGAAGGAGCAGCCCCTTGCCGAGCATTTCGCAGCAACAAGTGAGCGCCAGCTCTGTTTGTCAGCATGTTTCTGTGGCTGAACTGGTGCGAAAGCTAGTTTCTGTGGGGATCTGAAACTGCGGCGTCAGAGTTGCGAACGGCGGAAAGTGGCGAAGTGACGAAATTAGAAAAGTGAGAAGCCGAAGACAAAGAGGCGTTGCGTTGAATTGGGGTGTACGTCCGCGCGGGCGCGCCGCGCGGTGTCCGTACACCGGGAGCCCCGCGCAGGCGATCTGCGGGCGGCCGAGAGTCTCACAAGAATAGTTCTGTTCATTTCGGCCGAGCGAACTGCCCAGTGGCTTGTTGCGCATTGTCGTTTGCGGCGAAGCAAGCGAGGCTGCGTGGCGGCTGCGCCACTCCGTCGACTCCGCGCGGCCGCCGCGAACCGTAAGTGAAGAAAGCGAAGCGAAGCTCGGCTAGACCGCCTCCTCCTCGTTCTCCGAAGGCTTCCCCTCCTCCTCGAGGAACTCGCGGTACTGTTCGCCGTACTCGCCGCCCTCGACGTCGCTGAGCCTTCCGCCGAAGCCGAGCCCCTCCAGGTCTTCGAGTTCCACTTGGAAGTCGTCGTCGTTCACCGGTTCGCTCGCCCCCACGTTGCGCCGGTGCCGCATGTGCTGCTTCTGCAGCACTCGCGCGCGGTTCTGCATTTGCAGCCAGCCGTTCAGCGCGCTCTGTCGCTGGTGCAGGTCTGCGTCCGTCAGGTCTTCTTCGAAGTCTTCCGTGGTGACCGGCCCCGTGAACTCTCTGCGCACGAACGGCCGCTTCTTGAGGTCTTCCACGTTGATCTGCACGCCCCGCCGCCGCAGCCGGTGCAGCCCCTGGATCCGCCTCCGCTCCTCCACGGGGTGGTCCGCCTCTTCCCGCAGTTCGTGCAGCAGCGTCGGCACCTCCAGGTAAGTCCCGCGGCCTCCCAGCCCGTACAGAATCTTCTGCCGCTCGCTCATCGGCATTTTCGTGTTCGTTTCCAGCAAGTCCCGCGACAGCGCTTCGTTTATGTCTTCCAACGCCCCTCGGAAGCGCGGGCTGTGCAAAACAGCAAAGTGCAGCAGAGGAACGGGAGTTACTGGAACGCTTTCCGTGAAATTCATGTTCTGCAAAAAGTGCACTGAAATGCGAAGTTCATGCAAGTGCAAGAAGAGCTGCGCAAGAAACCGACCGGAAATGAAACACCATTCATGCATGCGCTTACTGGAATGCCATTCGCTTTTCAAATATCCGCGCCAGAGCGGCGTTGTAATCCTCTAAATCCGAAGATTCGTCTGATGCCGCCTAAGGACATCATAATAAACATTCAACTACATAATAAATGGAATACAATCAGCAGCAGCATATTTGAAAATGGTTGATGTTCCAAATGAAATTCATGTTTCATGAACAGATGCGCAGGCAAAAGTGCCCAATAAGTTGAACATGTGAACGTAGGACTGGGAATGGTTGAGGCGAAAGGGTCTTGAGGCGAAAAGGTCTCACAGCGGTGTTGGCGGCTGCGTTCCAAAGCAAAGGAAGCGCCTGCGCCAAAGACTGGTCTTGCTGTCTCCGAGGAGGATTCTTCGGACCACCCGGAGGGCCAGGGGGGCCTCGGCCGTTGTTGCCCCGGCCTCCTTGCTGAAACATTTTTGAAACAAAACAATTTGATCACAAGTTGTGAACAATGCCGTTTAAATGATGCTCTTTCCTAGCACTTATTTGCGCGCACAAAAGTACACGCGTTCACAAATCTGAATCTGCAAAGACCCTCATCAGGGAGCTGCTTTGCGGAACGAAAGAGTTGTCAGTGATGAAGTAGTGTAGTGTAGCTACTTCTTTCTTTTCTAAAAGTTTGTCCGACTCTTCTTTGCTGCTCTCGCTGGCTCGTTTTGTCTTTCTCGGCAAGCAGCAGCAAAGGCAGCGAGAGAGGCTTGTGACTGCTTTCATTAACGAAGTGCAGCTTCGATGTTTGCACTTGAAAAAGATGCTGCAGAAGTAATGGAAAGGAAAGAAAGCGTTACCTTGTTGGGTCCGTTCTTTTGACCGTTCTTTCCCTCCTCGCCGGACTCGCCGTCGCCGTCCTTGCCCGATCCCGATCCCGATCCCGGGCCTCCCGGTCCGGGGCCCCCCCCATTCCCTCCAGCATCTCCGGGGCCCCCCTTAACTCCTCCCCCTCCCCTGAGGTCTCCGCCGTTGATCCCCGCGGCCTCCACGAGGGGCAAAAGGAGGCCTTTGCCGCTAAAGTCTTCGAAGGGGAGCAGCAGCAGCCCGAAGGCCGCAAAGAGGGCGGCGGAAAGCCGAGGCGCCATGGCCAAAGACAAGAGGCAAGGACGCGGGGCCTCTTGCCCTCCAGTGAGTCCCACTGGACTTAAAAGGGGAATAAAGCCCCAGAAAAAAGCAAAAGAAACCCCCACGGGGATATAACTTCCCCGACTCCGGACTCCACGGCAGGCGGGAGAAGCCAGATGCAATGTGGGGTCCTCCTCTCGAGCCTCCCCCAGCTCAGGCCGCGAGCTGTGGACAAACGGCCAGCACTTTTGTTTTTATTTATTCAAAAGATTTAAAAACAAAGTCCGAGGCCCCAACGCGGCGCACCAGGGCACCAGGAGCGGCGGACCCGTACCAGTGCGATGAGCGGCGGAGGCTCCAACTTGCCGGCAGCAGCAGCTGTTTTCGCTGCTTCCTTGCGCTCGATCTCACAAAAAAATTAAATTCATTTCAAATTCTCTTCGAAGACTCCATTTGAAGAAATTCTAAACCCCCAAACCCCAACAGCTAGCCGCAGCAACTCCTGCGCGGCTGCTGCCTTCAAAGCGCCACTGCTGCCCCAGCGGTCACTCAGCAGCAGCCGCCAGAGGGCCCCGTCGGTTTCGCTGCATGTGTTGCCACTCCCTGCGTTTAAGTTCATTTAATAAACTCCATTTCCCTTCGAAACTTCGTTTTTTCCCCACCCAGACGCACAGACGCAAGCCCCAGCAGCAGACAGCCGGGAGCCCTCCGCCTGCGAGTTCAGGGCCTCCCACGCAGCCCGCATCGACACCCCAGCTACCCTGCAGCAGCAGCAGCAGCAGCAGCTGCTGCTGCTGCTGCTGCTGTCTTCGCCGTGCGCCTGGCTGTCTTCCTCCCCCGCGTCACGTCGCGAAGGAGTGCCGCATCCACTGCTGCTCTTCATAGCCTCGCGCTGGGGTGCGAGCCTGCGCACAAGCCAGCAGCAGCAGCAGCAGCAGCAGCAACTGCAGCAGCAACTGCAGCTGCAGCAAACCAGAAATGGAAGCCACGCCATAGTTGCTGCATTTAGAACACAGAGACACTCGAACGCGTGCGGATGAGCCCGCACCACGGAGTTGATAGGGGGTGACCTGCTCGCTGCAGCAGCAGCAGCAACAGCAGCAGCAGCAGCAGCAGCAGCAGCAGCAGCAGTCTAAACTGTCGTTCTTGATGGCTGCGGCCCCCGAGCACTGGCGCCAGCCGCAGCCACCTGAGTGCAGCGCCTGGGCGTATGCCGGGCATTCCCTTGCTGCGCCCAGCACGGCCACCGCTGCAGCAGCAGCAGCAGCTGCTGCTGCTGCTGCTGCTGCTGCTGCTGCTCTTTTCGGCCCTCCCTCGCGTTTGCTGCAGCACTTGGTCGGCTCGGCAGCCACACAGCTTTACTTTTGCAAGCAACATCTGCAAGAACAGTGACAGCAGCAGCAACACCTGGAGCAGCAGCAACAGGGTCTTGACTGGCAAAAACTGCAGCAGCAGCAGCAGCAGCAGCAGCAGCAGAATCAGCAGCAGCAGCGTTCCGTTGTATGTCTCGCATTCGCTCAGGCCTCGCTGCAGCTCTCCACTGCTGCCCCGATGCAGCTGCGCTGGAGCTGCAGCAGCAACTGCTGCTGCAGCAGCTGCTGCTGTCTTCCGTGGCCCAGCAGCTGTGCGCAGATCACCAGCTGCAGCAAAAGCAGGAAAGACAGCAGCAGCAGCAGCAGCAGCAGCAGCAGCATCCTCGCGGCTTCGCGGGCTGCCCTGGGATTCTCTCGGGCCTCCGCACCAGATCCTGGACCAGCAGCAGCAGCAGCAGCAGCAGCAGCAGCAGCAGCAGCAGCAGTTGCTGCTGCTTGCCTTTGCTGCTGCCTGCTGCGCCTCCTCCTGGCCGCGTTTGCGTCTCTTTAGTGCGGGACTTCTTCAGGGGCTGCTGCCCCCTTGATGAGGCGCTTCTGCTGTTCTTCAAAGGCCCCAAGTCCGCCACAGGTAAACCCCAAACCCTAAACCCTAAACCCTAAACCCTAAACCCTAAGCCCTAAACGTCAGTGCAGCAGAGAGCGGACGCGGCCTCGTGAGCTGCCTGCGGCGTTGTCTCCGGCGCAGCGCTGAAGGCCCAGCGCCGACGCTCGGGGTTCTAGGGTTTAGGGTTTAGGGTTTAGGGTTTAGGGTTTAGGGTTTAGGGTTTAGGGTTTGAGTGCGCAGGGGAGCACGTGGCCGAAATTCACTCCCACGGGGGCCCCGCCACCCTGGGGGCCCTTTTTGATTTCTTTGCTGAGGCCAGCCGCTGCTCGGGGGCCCCCAGGGGCCCCCCAACATTAAAAGTACCCCAAGGGGGCCCCCTTGGGGGCCCCCTGGACCCCTCCGGGGGGGCCCCTGGGGGCCCCCAGGGGGCCCCCGGGGGGCCCCCGGGGGCCCCACAGTCACTCGAGGCTGCCTATAGACATATGTTGGCTGCAGACAAAGAGTTGCTGGGGTTCGAGCCGGGGCAGCAGCAGCAGCTGCTGCTGCAGCAGCAGCAGCAGCAGCAGCAGCAGGGTCTGCTGCAGCAGGAAGAGTGCTGCTGCACTGAGCGCCTCTTCGATTTGCTGCTGAGGAGGTTCCTCGCGCAGCAGCAGCTGCAGAAGCAGCAGCAGCAGCAACAGGCAGACGGAGCAGCAGCAGCAGACACTGGCGCAGCAGCAACTTGTCCTTGCTGCAGCAGGGGGGCCCCCCATCAGTACCCTAATTCGCTTGGCGAGGCCCGGAGAGTTTGCGCTGCGTTCTTTTTTGAACGGCAAGAAAAATGTTCACCAGCTGCATGCGCTGGGGGCTGTGCTGCATGTAAACCCTAAACCCTAAACCCTAAACCCTAAACCCTAATTCGTAGTTTTGGGGGGCAGCGCGGAGCGCCGCGTTCAGCGCGAGCAGCACAGGCAGGGGCCGAACGCCGCGATAGAGGCGCCCGGCATCTCGACTGAGGGTTTAAGGCTTAGGGTTTAGGGTTTAGGGTTTAGGGTTTAGGGTTTGCGAACAGGCCGGGGGCTCTGCGCAGCTGGGCAAAGCCCTGCTGCGGCTCTCGGGGGGCCCCCAACGGCTGGGGCTTTTAAAGAAGTGGCGGGGGGCCCTCGTGGGGGCCCTGGGGGCCCTGGAAGCAGCTTTGGCTGTGGGGGATGACCAGCAGCAAACTGCAGCAGCAGCAGCAGCAGCAGCAGCAGCAGCAGCAGACCCCGCAGCAGCACAAGTCCTCGCGCAGCTCAACAGCGAACTCTCCAGAATTGCTGCGCACGCGCAGGCCGAGGAGGGCCCCAAACTGCTGCTGCTGGGGCCCCCCAACGCAGGTGACCCAAACCCTAAACCCTAAACCCTAAACCCTAAACCCTCGAGTGCGCACAGAAGAGACTCCGGCGCTGCTTGAGAAAGCTGCGGGGCCGGGAGTTCCGGAGCGAGGCGGCTGCCGCCCTGCAAACCCTAAACCCTATACCCCAAACCCTAAACCCTAAACCCCAAACCCCAAACCCTAAACCCTAAACCCTAAACCCTGCTGCGTGGCTTCAGGGAAAAGCAGCCTCTACAACTTGCTGCTGGGCCGGGAAGCTGCAATTGTTGCTGCTGAAGAAGGCACAACGAGGGACTTGCTGAGCAGCAGCATTTGCTGCAGCAGGGGAGGCAGCAGTTTGCTGCGGCTGCAGCTCACAGACTGCGCGGGGCTGAGGGCTGCTGCTGCTGCTGCTGCTGCTGCTGGGCCTGCTGCTGCTGCTGCTGGGCCTGCTGCTGCTGCTGCTGCGGTGGGCGCTGTGGAAGCAGAAGGCATTCGCCGGGCTCTTGCTGCAGCAAGAGACAGCGACCTGCTGCTGCTCGTTTTGGCAGCGAAGGAACTGCAGCAGCAGCAGCAGCAGCAGCAGCAGGAAGACGAGCAGCTGCAGCATCTGCAGCAGCAGCTGCAGCAGCTGGGCGAGGCCCTTAAGGGCATTATGAGCAGCAAAAGGGAGACACAAGGGACTCCCCGTTTGCTGCTTCTCGTCAACAAGACAGACCTGCTGCTGCAGAGCCAGCAGCAGCCCCTCAGCAGCAGCAGCAGCAGCAGCAGCAGCAGCAGCAGCAGCGGTTCTGGGCCCGCAAGCGGCGCTGCTCATGAGCTGCAAGACGAATCAGCAGCAGCAGCAGCAGCAGCAGCAGCAGCAGCAGCAGCAAGCTTGCTGCACCGCTTAGAGATGAGCGTGGATCGTCTCCTCCCTCAAGAGGCCCTGGGGGCCCTTCTACCGCTGTGGGGCCCCACACCTCCACTTGGGGCTGGGGGCCCCCAGGGGGCCCCCAGGGGGGCCCCCCAGGGGCCCCCAAGGGGGGCCCCCCAGGGGCCCCCAAGGGGGGCCCCCCAGGGGCCCCCAGCAGCCACGGCCAAACCCCTGCAGCCCCGCATTTTGCCTATTTCTTGTCGCAGTGGCCTTAATGTGCAGCAGCTGCTGCAGTGGGTCCTTCGCAGCAGCAGCAGCAGCAGCAGCAGCAGCGGCAGCAGCAGCAGCAGCAGCAGTGAAGAAGAGGCCCTCTTTTGCTTGCAAAGGGAGCGAGTGCTGCTGCTGCAGCTGCGGGACACGCTGCAGCACTTTCTAAGCATTGAGGCTTTGGAGGAAAAGGCCGAAGACCTCTCGTAAACCCCAAACCCTAAACCCTAAACCCTAAACCCTAATTTTAAGTCCTGCAGTGACTGCTGTTAGCTGAGAGAGCGCCCAAGTGGCGAAGCCCTAAACCTCCCCGGGCTCTTCGTGTCATCTGCAGCGCCAGCTTAGGCGTTAGGGTTTAGGGTTTAGGGTTTAGGGTTTAGGGTTTGTGCGCAGCTACGCGTTGGGGCTGCTGGGAGAACTAACGGGCATTGAGTGGCGGCCTGAAGAAGCTGTTGAAATCATTCAGCGAAGCTTCTGCCTCGGCAAATGATTGAGGTTTAGGGTTTAGGGTTTAGGGTTTAGGGTTTAGGGTTTGGGTGGCGACAGCCCAGCGGGTCCGCCCAGCGGCCTCCGCTGCGGCCGCGCCGGCCAAACCCTAAACCCTAAACCCTAAACCCTAAACCCTAAACCCTACGAAAAAATCGCACGAGTTGGGGGGCCCCGAGGCGCTCAAAGCGTCGAGGTGTACGTACACCTCAAACCCTAAAACAAATTAAACCCTAAAGCGCCTTCAGGCCTTTGGGGGCCCCCTCTCAAACCCTAAAGTCTCGCAGTGTGTTCTAAACCCTAAACCCTAAACCCTAAACCCTAGCGCTCTGGGGGACACCCAGAAGGCTCATGTGACGGAGGGTTTGGAGAGCAGAAAGGCGGCGACTTCCTCCATGCAGC